AGGCAAGTTTCATCATTCATGCTCCTCTCCTCCTCAGGAGCAGACCCTGACTCTTGTGGCAATGGTGCACTGAAGAACCACATTTCCCAGTCTCTTGGCAGTCAGGAGAGTCTATGGGATTCCCTTCTGATGAAGCAGACAGGAGCAAAAGTGTGTGAACCTTCCAAGAGAATTCTTAGAGTAGAAGGGGAAAACAATCCCTTCCTCTCACCCTCCTCCTTCTGGCTGGAATGCGGTCACAATGGCAGCTGCTTTGGGCCGTGAAATGACCTTCTGAGGATGGCAGTCAAAGATGAATAGAGCCAGGTCTCTGATACCACGAAGAACCATAACAGCCATAGATGACCTACTTTGAGCATTTTTAAAAATGTATGAGAGAGACAAATATCTATTTTGTTTAGGACACGAATATTTTGAGTTTTCTATCATAAGGGGCAGGACTTAATCATGATACACATACCTTTCCCTACCAAAACAAAAAAAAAGAAACCAAATTCCTCCAATCATAATGCCAATGGACATTCCAATGCTGGCCAATCATGGATAATCTTCCTTTTCCATTTAGGTCAGGGTTCCAGCCAATAATTGGCTCCCAAATGCTACATCCCACAAAAACACACTCCTTCCAATACACAAAGCAATAAAAAAGGAGACGCATCAAGACTGCTCTGAAGTGCTTATCTTGGGGCTGTGGTGTGAGCTCCCCGCCAAGTCTATCCCCAGTTGGAGTTCTGACAGCAAAGACCAACACAGACCATGGGGGACAGGGGACATAGCACTACCAGGGAAGGTGCATCCAGATGGGGTAAAAGGGTCATTTTTGCATGGTGATGGGCATCCTGTACTTTTTTTCTCTTGCTGCATCTTTTCCTTGAAGCTATCCTCCTGTGCTCCCAATAATCTCGGTAGATATGTCAGTCAAACCTCATAACCCTCCATCTCCCAATCACCAAAATGGATGGTAACTTACCAATCTGGGAATTCTAACTCCCACTGCTGTGATTGGTTCAAGGATGGTTGTGGTCCAGGAAGGACCAATTAGAATTAGTTTCTTCAGAGACTGAAATGTATGTTGTGTGAAAGAGAATGTCTCTCCTTCTGAGTTAGTCTTACCAAGTTGGAGCTGCTCAGGGCTTTCTTTATATCAAGCACAGAAAGACTATCTAAGAATGAAGCCAATGAAATACTAAGAATGCCAAGGTTTCTTGAGAGAGAGGTAGTACCTTAATGACTTGGATGTAGCTCCTGGATTTCACCATACCTGAAGGAAACCCCGTCCTTTCACTGGTTATGATTAGGGAGAATATTTATTACCAGCTCTGGATACTGCTTTCTTCATGGAAGGGCATTAGTATGTCCATCTTCACCTCATTTGCTCCTCTCCAGGAGATGAGAGGGAACTTAACTAATCGTTTAAGCTGGGGGACAGAAATGGCCTGTACAGCTTAGTTCCTCCCTTTCTTTTTGGGACCTATCTAGCTAAAAGAGCACACTCTCTGTTCCATTCTAAGCCTTTCAGGGATGGGCCCTGTCAGAGAGCCGTGAGTAGGTGGCAAGTTCAGTTCTGGGGTACAACCTTATGAGGCTCTCTTGGCCATCGGACCTAAGGCCAAATCTCCTAGTCATCTTTATTCACACCAAAAGTGATACTTTTGTCCCACCTCCTCCACTTGTGTATCCATCTCTTGATTGGTTTCAACTTTGGCTGGAAAGAGGAAGAGTGCTCATTACTGGTGCCCTCGGATCGTGAGCAACATGCATCAAAAGTTTCCCTTTTGCTTACCCTGCTTTGGATACAGTGTCTGCCTCTTACGGCCATCAGTGCAATTCCCTGACACTACTTTCTGAACAGTATTCCTTATAGTAGTATTTCATTTTTACTCAATTAAATAAATTTCCCTTTCTCACAGTAGAAGTTTGAGGGTTCCCTCATTTCAGGCACTGGAGGGTGGGGCTTTCCTAAACTGACAAGGGTGGCATAAAGAATTAAGACCCAGGGCCTGGGACTCATTCCCTGTCACTATGAACTGGGGGTGGGGATGCAGTAGGGATAGGAACATCCCAAAAGGGCCCTCTTGTCTAAAGTGATTGTGTTGATGGTTCCAGTTCGTGGCCTCCCTACATTTATGTCCTCTGTCCTAAAACTCTGAAGCCCCCTTTCACTCTGACTTTGGGCTTAGATATGTGACTTACTTTGGCCAGTAGGATTTTAGGAGATTTCAAGCTTGGAGAAACTGCCTGTGTTTTCTGTTTCCTCTCTAATCACCATGAGAATGTACCCTGCTGGCCAGCTGGGGATGAGATATGTCAAACAGAGCTAGAACCAACCTGGGTCAGCCAGCTGACCACCAGACAGGTGGGTGAACCTCAACTGGCCTCAAGAAGGATTTTAAGGTCAAGCCCTACCAAGATGAACAGAACAACACAGTTGACCTGTAGGTTTGTGAGCTAAGGAATGCTAATATCTCAAGCCAGTGTATTTTGGGTGTTTTGTTATACAGCAGTATTATGGTAATAGTTGACTGATACAGGGCCCCTTTTCCCCAAACTATCAACAGGCTGCAGAAGGGGTGTTTCCCACAGCGCCGAGCATGGTGCTAGGTAATAAAGTGGATTTTGTTTACGTTCATAAGTTCCAGAGCCAGCTTGTCAGAATTCACATTTTAGTGCTGTCACTGGCTGGCTTTATGTCCTCGGCCAAGTTATCCTGTCCTCTTTGTTTTTCGTTTTTTGTGGTCGTAAAATGGAAATAAAAATGTGACCTACTTTCTATGGTTGTGGTGAGGATTTAATGATCTAATGTATGTGAAGTGCTTAGAATGAAATAGTTTTCAAAACCAATGAGTCATTAGTGGGTGTTTCTGTCCATCTCCCTTAACTAGACCGTCACCCTACCTCACCCTCTCTCAGGCCCCTGTCTTACCCCATTGCTTGCTGAATGTTGGAGTAAAATTAGCACTTTTATAAGTACAGATGAAAATTTCAATAATCTATTTCAACTTAAGGCCAACATCTTTGTTCTTTTATAAAGTGTACATGTAATATTTATAATGTTTTGTAACTGCCCTTCTCCCTCACTCCCTACTGTGCTGTGAAATAAAACTTTAAAACCATCTTCACTGTCTGGCATTGACATGCACTATTCATTCCAACTGTACTTAATTGAAGCATTTCTCTAGAGTTTTTCCCGAGGAGAGCCAGATGGGGTGCAGGGTACCTCCCAGGCCAGTGGAGGCAGAGCTGGAGGGATCGCCCTCTTCCAATAATGCACAGCCCTGGTGCTCTCTGGAATCGGATCTCCTTGGTTCTCTCTCTTAGTCCCCTTCTTTTCACTCCAGATCCTCTGCCATCTGACAACCATCTGAACCCAACTTTTAATTGGTTTTTCTCCTCACTGGCCCCATGGGAAGTCACCTGATACAATACCCACTACTTCCCTTTCCTGGCGTCTCTCTGTAGACAAGGGGTACACAGAGGAAAATCTTCCTTGGGTTCCAATCCTTTGGTTACTAATGGACTTGAGACAGCGGGTGGGAGTTATTAAGCAGTGTCCTCTGGAGAAAAGAGGGCTCAAGTCCCAGGGCCATCACCAAGTCACAGGCAGAATTTTGTGTATATAGTCACTGTGTTGAAGAAAACACTATCATTTCCATCACGTTTTCAAAAGCCTCTGTAAATCTCTATCAGCCAGAACCCACAGCTTTGGGAAACTGACTCATCCCTGCAAGCCTCAGTGTCTTCATCTGCAAAATGAAGGTAATAACAATTACCTTCTCTGACTTCACTTCAGAGAAATGTTATAAATGAGAAAATGAATCTGATCCAGAAACTACTGGACGAATATAGGCGATTGTTACTATTTTAGTATGCTATTTGTTAATTCAGAAAATACTTAGGTAGGGTGAATTTCAAAAGATGTTGCACAAATTGTATATATAATTCTCAAGGTTTTCCCTGGATTTGGACATAGGTGAAATCTAGATTAGAACTAAAATGCACAGAGTTCTCAGTAATAATGATAGCAGGTAATACTATGAGCCTTATATATGTGCCATCTAATTCAATCCTCACAATGGCCCCACCAGGGAGGTTTGTGTCATTTCCTTTTTACAGACAAGGGTTCTGAGACTCAGAATGATTAAAAAAATAATTGCTCAAGGTCGGACAGCAGAGCTGGATATGAAGGTAGTGCCGGTTACCTTCACGTGCCTAACTAACCTTGGTGCTGTCAGCTGCCTCTGGATTTATACAACTAAAAGAATGAGGATGTGATTGTTCATTCTGCACTGTCTATCTCTAAGCAACATCATTTTACCCGTTCAGGTCTCCGTGGAGAGATGCCTCTGATTCTGAAACCCAGGTTTTGAATCTGACTCAACATCCCCCCATTTAGGACATTTGAAGAAAGCCTGAGATGGACTTCCAAGCCCCTTGGCAAGCCTTATTTTTCTCTCCTGCAAAATGAGTGTATACTCCTTCCTCCCTCGAGGGGCTGCTGGCAAGGTCCCATGGGTCACTGTGCAGAAGCACTCAGGCCAGTGCCTGGTGGGATCTGGTGTTCAATCTGTCCTGGCATCTTTTCCTTTCCTGGCACGGAAATGTTAAGACAAAGGAAGTCAGTGAAGGGAGAAGGAGTGGAAGGAGGGCCGCCATGCACCTAAGTCACTCAGAAATTTGAGATGGGTTCATTTCTGTGGTTGGAAACAACCAGTGAGGTGGCAGTGGGGACACGATGCCCAGAAGTGAGGGTACCTACATCTAATCTTGTCCATTCTGGCTTTTCCAGACTCCCTGGGTGACTCTGTGTCTCCTCTCTGTCCCCCCAGCAAGGCTGTTGGGAAGATGAAATGAGAAGGTACCCTATGACACCCAGCCCAGAGCCTGCAAAGAGGAACAATGACAACACCCCTTCCTGTGCCCATCGGCCCAAGTCCCAGCATGCCTTTCAGGGCTGACCTGTGCAGGGGCTGGAGCTGTGGTAGAAAGGAAAGGGCCCTTACCTTTCACAGCTCTCGCCTCATTGTGCTTCTCCAATAGCAGGTAGCATGGGCTGTCAGGGAGAAAGGGCAGGCTCAGCAGCTGGACGACGGCAGGGACTACAATCACTCCAAACAGGTATGGCCAGGTACTCTCCTGAGGGAGAAGGAGATGCTGCTGAGTGCAGTGGCCTTTGGTTGTTGTTGAGGGGACTGGGCAACTGGGCCAGGTGTTTTCGACCCTACAGAAGGTCTTCCTGCCCAACATGATCCCCACGAGCAAAGGCTGAAGGAATGAACTGAGTCAGGTTGGGCACCAGTCTCATGTATACAGCATTTTCCATGTGTGAGTCCAGACACTCCTCAGAGTCCCCTGTGAGATGGTGACCTGGGTAGTGGCTCTGAAAAGCAGGTGGCTCAGGTTGGCCAAGGCCATAGGGGCTGCTTGACTCCACCTTCCCAGAGTAGTAGGGCCCCAAGGCCCAGAGTGAGCACATGGCCAGCAGCTGGTCCAGTCCTCATCTCCACCTAAGGGGTACCTTAGATTTGATTCCCTTTCCTGTACTTAGTAACAGTTTTTATTCACAAAACTCCTCTGGTTCCGCCAGCCAGCATAGCCCTTCCATCGCCTTCTGAGGAACTGGCAAGGCCAATGTCAGCTTTCCAGTTTCAGGGAAGCTCTTGCTAGAAGGCTGGGAGAGGTAGGCTAGGGCTGCTGGAGGGCTGGGAGGGCCAGGGACAGGGGGGTGGGGAGTGATTGCTCCCCAATGTGGGGTTTCTTTCTAGGGTGATGCAAATAACCAGAATTAGAGAAAACTGATGGTGGCCAGACTCTGTGAAGATACCAAAACCCACTGAGCTGTATACTTTAAAAGGATGAATTTTATGGCATGTGTGTCATAGCTTGATTAAAAAAGAAAGACCAGGAAGAAAAAAAAACCCAACATACATAGAAGTGGAATTCCCACTAGGCCTGTCTGTGGCATTGTTGTTGATTCTGTTTTCTCTCGGGGTTTGGCTGCCATCTCAGAAAGGGCAAAAACAGAATCTGAGAAAACACAAGGGAACCAACCCCATGAAGCTCCTACCACATGCCAGGTATGGCGTGAGCCCTTCTCACGGCTGTCTCCTTCCACAGCACTGCCACCAGCCCCACACGGAGCCAGCACTGCTGCTGCATATTTAAGGTGTGGCAAGGATTCCTGTGCTGAGGTCTCCCAGCCAGGAGCCACGCAGGTGGAAATCAAGCCCAATCTTTTCCCACAGCATCATCACAGAAGGGGCACTTCCCAGGGGTGGCTTTTGGAGCTGCCACTGGATGGAAGGGCACCCCCAGAACTGCATGTACAACCACACCAAGGCATGACCCGCCCCGGCTCACTGGGAAACAACTGTAGTGGGGATGCAAGGTCAGGGGATGCTGCAGATGTGGAAGCTGAGGCTGCAGCCTCGGGCGGAGGTCAGGTCATGGGTGGCTTTGCTGCCTTTCCATGGCTCTTGGACTTGGCTTGAGGACAACGGGAGCCTTTGAGGGGTCTGTGTACTAACTGAGATGGACACTCTATTTCCTTGAGTCTACGATTCAGTGTTTTTAAAATCGTACAGTCAGCGGGTATGTTTAACTTTGCATGACTTATTCCTGAAAGGTTTAAGTTCATAACTTGATAAGGCTATACCTGATCAAGTTCATGGGACAGCCTTTGATCTCTGGTGTGTTAAATACAAGGACGTGGGACTCTTGCTTAAGGGAGGTCACATGCGTGAGTGTGGTCTTATTTCTACCTCTGGAGAAAAGGCAGATTCTTTAAACCTCAGGTGGGCAGCCACCAGCTTGGGATGCCAACATTTCTGAACTCCAGAAGGAAAATGGCAGTGGCCACTCTGTACACATCCCTGAGGTGAACAGTGGTAAAGGTGTGGGTCGGGAGTGTCCAGAGTGGAGCTCAGATAAGAGTTTACTCCAGAGGGACTGAGCTTAGCCAGCAGCAGAATCTGTGAACCTGGCTTTTTCCAGAAAGTGTTCAGAGTTTTCCTGGAAATATTAGTTGGCTGCAGGGAGAGGTACTGTAGTTAGGAGAGATTATTCCCTTCACCTTTTGCCAAGAAAAGTGCGATTGGGTGTGTGGGTAGGTGTGTGTTGAATGACGGGTTTCCACTCATGTCATGCATGTGGCCCACCCATATAATAAAAACAGCCAGGATGCCCTGCACACACGTCATCTCAATGAGTAAGCCTGCCTCCCTGCTCACTCATTCCGGCCATGGGGCCACAATAAAGACTCTGCTGTGCCCTGTGCTTTATGGAACAGCTTCTGACGATGACCACGCGTGTCTTCTCTCTCAATGGCCGTGGTAAAGATGAAATCACCACCAGCAACCCTTACTGAGTAGGGGCTTGCAGCCTGGGTCAGAACAACATCGTGAGCGGTTTTGGGCACAGCTCTCTTGCAGGCTGTCTGGATTTGGATTCTGCCTCTATCCCCATTCACTGAGGCTGTGGGCAAGTTACTGAAATGCCCATGACTCAGTGTTCTCATCCATAAAATGGGGATAAAGACAACACATACTCCCAGGGAGGACTGCTGTTGGGAGGATGAAGTCCATGACTGGATGTCTGGAGTGCAGAGCGCAGGGCTGCACACACTGTAGGTGTTCAACAGGAAAGATTGGTTTTTATTACCAAGTACGTTGCATAGTCCATCTCCTCTCATCCTCACAGCAACTCGTGGACAGACAGCCTGTTACTATCTTCCCTCTACAGAAATATTAACTGTAGCACAGAGAGGTTCAATGGTTCATTGAGGCCACAACTTGGTCATAGAGGCACGACTGGCCGCCAAGTCTGGGATTCCAGAGTCTGCATTCAGATCCAGGAGGCATGGTGAGACATGCCTAGTGACCAGGGAGGAGCCACAAGGCCACCAGACTCAGGGGAAGGGCCAGTGAAGCCTCAGAACCTCAGTGGCTCTTGACGGAGCTCCTGGGCACTCAGTCCCACCACAGAGCTGAGGCCTCAGCATTTTACATAGTTGTGCGAGGCCTGGAGGCAGAGACCTGCCAGCACATGGTAGCAGATAGATACGTGTCTATTGAAGGAACAAACAAGCATGAGAAAGGGCTTTCCTACACACTGGTCCATTTCACACACAGCCCTTGCCATTTGCAGAGAGTGCCCTCTGAGTGTGTTTTTCAGGGGCTGTTCAAAAGGAAGGCATGTTTTAAAAAACTGGGTATTACTTGCCTGACACAAGACCATGAGGTGCCACCAAAAGACAACCTCAAAGATGAGTCTCTGTGTGTTAGTTCAGCCTGCTGGGTGTGGTAAAACCCAAGAGCATCCATATAGGAGAACACGGGCAGAGAGTTGGCACCTGCTATTTCACTCAGGAGGAGGGAAAAGGACAGTGTTGTCGGCTGAGGTGATTTTTAACTCCCAATCAGGTCAGGTGAATGGGCCTTCCGATAACTCTATTATCTTATTCTTTAATCTGTAAGGTTTCCATTTTTTAAATAGAATTCTGGTCATATTTCCCATAAGCTATAGACTGCTTCAGTCCATAAGTAATATCTTCCTGGACTATGATGAATCAGCAAAAAATGTTTACGTAGAGTTGAAATCATTGCTTTTACTCCAAGTCAAGTTCTTATAAAGGACATCCCAACATGCCCATGGCCCCCAATCAAGTGGAGCGGGATGGGCAGGGGGAGGTCGAATGCTGGCTGGGCCCCTTAAGCCGCTGACAGCAAAAGGGCTCCAGAGGTGGCCATTGCTCCATGCTGCCGGATTGGAAAGGCGAAGAGCAAGACCTACCTTACAGAGCAATTTGGGGGATTAAATGAAATGTTCTTCTTTATATTTCATCATATGTAGGCTATTATTCTAGGCTCCTATTCTAATAATGGCTGACACTGATCAAGTGTTCTCCACATGCCTAGCTCCCTGCTAAGTGTGTTACAAATGTAACTTTGTGTTACATAAGCACAGTCGGGAACGTCATCTAATACAACCTGGGTCTTTGTCTCCGTGTTCCTCTAAAGGTTAATCCCTGGGGTTTTATTTCCCTGCCCCATTCTAGGGGCTCAGCTCTTGTCTGCTCAGACTGAGCAGGGGCCTATCCTAGAATTACAATTTCAATTTAGACATCAAAATGGCCAGTATAAAATAATAATCAAAATCAACCCAAGTGAATAGATTGAATGACACATCTTCCATCTCCTGTCCCCTTTCCTCCAAGCCTGCTTTCGGCTGGAAGCCTGCAGTGGAAAGAGCTGGGGTGGGAGGTAGATGACTGACTTCTCTATTTCTCTTTTCCTTCCTATGCCTCTTCCCCAGGCTCGCTAGCCAAGGTCTGATCGCTATAGGGACCAAGTGTTTGAGGTTCTACCTTGGGTCTCTGGGGCCAATGGATGTGTAAAACTGATATTGTCCTCGTGAGCCCTTTCTGAGAGTTCTGGAGTGTCCCAACCTTGGGACCACCCACTCACCCCTGCAGTTCTCCTAGCTTGCGGGTGTACAGGTGCTTTTTCACCATCTCTGCTGCAAGGATGACATCTCTTTCTGTTTCTCCACTGCAGCCCAAAGGATCCAGAGTCAAGGCTACTCTGTATATGTGTGAAAGGTGCACCCAGCACTTACCTCCCTGAAAAGGGGGTGAGCTGAGGTTAAATCCCGCCCACTCTGACCCCCAACCTAGGCGGCCATGAGGTTAGTGTATGAATATTTATCATGTTTTATGTTTCCTATATTTCATTACACTTTCATATTGTATGGCCTTTCTGATTTCAGAGAGACTGACTTTCCCAGAGCCGTCATTAATAGCAGTTCCCTAGCTATTAATAATTCCTAGAGCTAGTGAACAACTTGCCTGAGAGCACACCTTTTATATGCAAACCCACCAATCCAAAACCTATACTCCAATCACTTCCCTTATCAAACTCTCACTCTCTGAGCCAACATTATCCCTCTCCCAGGTCACTCCAGAGCCAGGTACCGGAAAACTAGGGAACAGCCCCCTAGCCCAGAGCCTGGCAACATGATCCCAAGCCTGCCTCCCCTGCTCACTCACTCCTGCCATGGGACCACAATAAAGGTTCCGGTGCAGGCTGCCCCCTCCTTCCTCCTGCCTCCTGACTGACCCCAGGGCCTCCCCGAGTGGC